GGATGAATCTGTCAATTCTCCTTCTATCCTCCCTAGTCATTGTCCAACTCTCTGGTGCATAACAAGTGACTGCAAAGACCATGGCCTTTATCAGGCGCACCTTAGTCTCCAGAGAGACACCGTTGCTCTTGAGTACTTTAAAGAGGTCCCTAACAGCAGATTTTCACATCGCAATATGTCTTTTCATTTCCTGCCTACTGGTGTCAAGAGTGTTGACAATGGAGCCAAGCAGACTGAAGCTGTGAACAATCTCAATCTCTTCGCCATCCATCCTGATGCTACCAGTTGACCCAGTGGTGAGAATCCTTGTCTTCTTGACATTGAACCTCAGTTCATACTGAAGGCTGCAGTCCTTGACCCTCTACAACAAGTTCATGAGGTCCTCCTCAGTTTCAGCAAGCAGGGTTGTGTCATCTGTATTATGCAGATTGTTTCAAACATACATACTCTTATTAAATAACTTTAATTTCAGTGCTTGTAATCTACTCACACTTTTCCCACTTGTACCCTATAATTCTGATTTTCATCAGTTCTTCTAGACCTCTCTGTGTCTTCTCTTTATTTAGTGATATTGTACTGGTCACCTCTTACTGGATGTTGCCTTTCTTTTCACAAATGTCTCTTTAAAGTGTTCTTTTTATAGATAAAAATTGTTTCGATATTTGATGCAATAGGAAGTTAAATTTACTACTTAAACTTTCAGTAAACTCTTGTAGCCCAGTGGTAAGAACTTGCACTGTCAACCCTAAGGCACAAGGTTCAAATACACCAACTGCTCCGTGGGAGAAAGATGAACAATCTCCTGTGTTATTTTGAGCTTCTAAAAATCTGTTGGAGGTTCAGGTATGAGTTGGTTTTGACTCAGTGGCACAGATCATCTTAAACATCAATAAGGCTTTCATTGAAATTCATAAGTCAGGGTATTCTAACAACTTACCATTTTATTGTGATAATATTCTTGAATGAAGAAGTACCAGATAATAATAAGCTTTTTGTAGTACACTAAGTGTTTACGTATTCCAAGAACATGTATGGATAAAGGAAGATCATGTTCTAGATACTTGAACGCAGCTTTTAGTTTTTTCTAATTGATAAAAGCCATACCCTTCATATATGTGGAGTATTTACTTTTTTTGTGTGTGATTTAAGTAAAGGTTTACAAAGCAAATTAGTTTTTCTTTTTAATCATAGATACATATGAAGTGTCCTATTAATGTAGTGGTTAACATTCAGCACTCTCTGACCTCAGCTTTTAAAATAATGTTTCCCTTGAGGAAATGGACAAATATTTAGAAACGCACAATCTACCTAAACTGACACAAACCGAAATTGAACATCTTAACAGACCCATTACAAAAGAAGAAATTAAAAAGGTAATACAACAGCTTCCAACCAAAAAAAGTCCTAGACCAGATGGATTTACAAGCGAATTTTATCAAACATT